GAATTTAAAATTTAAAAAAAAAAAAAAAAAAAAAAAAAAAAAGTAATATATCAAAGATAAAATAGTATAAAGATAATAAAAAAAAAAAAATTAAAGTCCATGATAAGAATAATATAACAAAATCAATAATTTTTATAGGAAAAAAATAAATATAATAACAAAAGAGAATATTAATTAATATATAATTTGATACTTACATACTTAAAAAATAAAAAAAAATGAGACCTAAATATATTCAAGATTCACAAGTGCAAAAAGAAAAAAAAAGAGGTGGTTCTTTTTTTATATTCATAGTATTTTTTATTCTTTGTAAGAACATAAAAAAAAAAAAAAAAAGAAAATTTTTTTTTTTTTTTTAAGAATATAAATAATTTAAAATGCATTGCAATAATTTTTTTTTTTTTTTTTTTTTTTTTTTTTTAGCATTTATATATATAGGGTATACAGGAATTGTTCTAAGATCATGGTTTATTCCTTATAGAAGTGGCTCATTAACAATAGCCATCGTATTTCATTTCTTTTTTTTTTTGTTTTTGTTAAGTTTTATAAAAGTAATATATATATATATATATATATTTTTATATATATATTTTTATATATATTTTTTTTTATATTATTTGTATAGCATTTTGTTATTTGTATATAATATTAACATATATATTTTACACACATTTTTTTATATTGTTAAATGATATTTTCATTAAGAATTTTTCAAAGAATTTCATATATTTTATTATAATTTATACTTTTCTAGTGTGCATCTACAGATCCAGGAAAAGTACCACGAAATTGGGGTTTTTATGTAGGTGATGATGTTAAAAGAAGAAGATATTGTAAAATTTGTAACATTTGGAAACCTGATAGAACACATCATTGTTCTGCATGTAACAGATGTGTATTAAATATGGATCATCATTGTCCATGGATAAATAATTGTGTTGGTTTTTTTAATAGAAGATTTTTTATGCAATTGTTATTTTATGGTTTAATTTGTCTTTTTATTGTTGCCTCTCAAACATTTCATTATATTTTTATTGATAATACTTATGCCTATTCGGATGATGAATTTCATGAAAAATCATCTTTTATAGCTTTTGAGTATACTTATGCATCAATTGTTTTATTTTTAACATTCGTCTTAATTTTTGCTTTAGTTCCATTTACAAAATTTCATTTAAAATTAATTTCAAAAAATTCTACAACTATTGAAAATATGGATACATATAACCAAGAATATAATATATATAATATTGGTTGTGAAAATAATGCAAAACAGGTTAAAATAAAACATATTTATGTACATTAAGTATTATATATTCATATAATTAAAAAATATATTCACATGAAATATATTCATATAATTAAAATATATTCACATAATTAAAATATATTTATATACCTTTAATTAATTGAATAGGTTTTTGGGAATAATATCTTGTGTTGGTTATGCCCATTTCAATGTGTCTCTAATAGACCTGCTGGAGATGGTGTTCGCTGGAGAGTCAGCGTATCTCATGATGATAATGTTTAAAAAAAAACAAAATAGATGTATAAATTTTTTTTAATATATAATATTTTACATTTAATAAAATATATAAGAAAAAATTTTTAACAGAAAAGATTTTCATTGAAAAACATTAGGTAAATGATTATTATATTTTTGAAATTTTTTTTCTTTTTTTTTATATCTGTCTATATATAATTTTATATGTATACACTTTTTTTTTTTTTTTTTTTTGTATTTTTCTTTTTTTTTTCCACTTAAAATAATTTTATTTTGGATGGAAAAAAATATGAAGAGAAAATGAGTATAACAATTTTTTTTTTTTAAAAATGTTCTATAGTTCAGAATAATATATAATCCTTTTATTTTACAATATTATATCTTGAAATTTAAAAATTATACAATATATTTACATTTTATATTAGTTTTTTTTTTTTTTATATTTTATCATTGTACTTCATATTTAAAATATTAGAAGTCTATTTTTATTTCATAAGGTTTTTCAATTCATTTTTTTTTTTTTTTTTTTTGTAAAATTAAATTTTTAGCTAAATACATTTTTCGATATATATATGACAATTTTAGGATATATATTTTTAAAAATAAAATTAAACTAGTATATTTTTTTGTTTGTTTTTTTTTTTTTTTTTTTTTTTTTTTTTTTCGGTTTATTTTTAAAGAAAACATTAAATTTTGATTATAATTTTCTTAATTAAAAAATATATTGAAGACAACATATATTCTTATTTTTAAAAGTAACACAAAAAAAAAAAAAAAAAAAAAACAATAAAAAAATAAAAATACTAAATGATAATTAAAAGCAAAAAAATTAACTTAAAAAAAAAAATTATATAATTTCTTATTAAAATGAATAAATGGAATATTTAAAAAATGAAATAGACATAAAAATAAAAGTATAAAGGTGTAGATAAATTTCATATTAAATCAGTTATGTAAATATTTTATTTTAAAAAATATGTAATAAAAAAAAGGAAGAATAAGTTATATTAAAAAGTATATATATTTATTTACTTACGAAAAAAAGACCGCAATAAAAGCAAGTGAAGCCATTTTTAAATTTTTCTAGACACTTTAAAAAAAAAAAAAAAAAAAGAGTAATATTTTTTGTATTTAAGTTAAAAATTTTTTTTTTTTTTTTAATTTTTCTTTTAAAAGTTTATAACCTTTTCGGAATAAGTTGCACCGCATAGTTCACAGTGGTACTTATATGTGCAATAGATAAAAAAATAATAACATATATGAACAAAACGTTGGCAAATATTACAAGTTCTTGTAAAAAAATTAAAAATGTTATTACAATGTGGGCAATATCCTAAAAGATGTGTATTTTTATAAGAATATTTAGATGAATTAAAATAGGTATCATGATTAATTTCATTCATATGGTAATCTAACTGTTTATCTTCAGGTATGTTTTGATTTTCCATTTGAAGGAATTTTTCTAAATTAGAATTTGTTTTTTTTCTACTAAATTCAATATGCTTTAAATTATCATCAATAATATAATAATTTCTTTTTTTTTTTTCATAATTTAATAAATAATTATGTAATGAATTTTTCTTGTTACATTCATTCACTTTTAATAATGTTTTTGTATTATTTAAATTTAAATGATTTTTTAATATATTAACATTATTATTAACATTATTATCAATATTGTTATTATTGTCAATATTGTCAATATTGTCAATATTATCAATATTATTCTCATTATTATTATCATTATTATTATCATTATTATTATCATTAGTGCTGCAAGTTTTATTACTAGTTATATTATCAACAAATGGAGAATTTTTATTAAGTAAAAATTCATACTTGTCTTCCGAAATCAAGGAAAAATCAAGATTTTTTTTTAAAAATCCATTAAACTTAATACTGGATGAAAATATATTAAAATTACTTGTAGTATAAATGTAATAACCCCATTCAGGAGAAAATTCTTTTATACACTTTTCAAAAGTTAAATGATAATTATTTATTAAAGCATATTTATTACTTTTATAACATACAGAATATTTTAGAAAAGAATTTTTAGAAAGCTCATATAGTTCTGATATGATTAAATCATTTTTTTCATAAGGAAAAAGTAAAAAAAAAAACTCGCAGATTTTTTGAACATAAAAAAAACATCCTCTTATAAATAAATTTAATATAAATTTTTTTAAAATATAGTTAAGTAACTTTTTATCTACTATAATTCTACACAAAATTGAATATAATATCAAAATAAGAGAGGAATTTTCTATATATTTATAATGTTTATATTCATTGATTAGTAATAGAATTTTACAAATAGTAATATTTCTAACATTACTTTTTAAAATATTTTTTAATTCATCGATTGTAAAGTATGTATTCTCTATATTTAAATAAAATTCAAAATATTTATGATCATTTTTTATTATTCTATTTTTTAAAACACAATAACTTCTAATAAAATTTTTTATATATTCTCCATTCTTAATACAACTTTTTAAGGCTTTTTTGTATTTCTTTTCCATAATATATTTTGAACTAATTTTAAGTAAAGACTTCATTAAAAAAACCTTATATTTTATATATTTTATATTAATAGGATTTCTTGGTATTATTCTTGATGTAGTATTTATTGAACTAAACAAATAATTTTTATTTCTGAATTCTTTTAATTCTATATTTATTCCATTTTTATAAAAATGTTCAATCGTAAAAAATTCATATGGTGTTAAAGGAAAGATATATTTATAATATATTTTACCTATATTTATTTCTTCTTCATTTATTATATTACTTTTATCAATTTCCTTTTTCTTTATATTTTCTTCTATATCATTATTATTTATTAAATTATTCAAGCTTGTTGTATCATTTTCATTTATGTTTTTCAAATTTTTTTTATTATTGTTTTTATCTAATTCATATATATTCTTTTTTTTAGTATCTTCAAATGAAGTAGAAAATTTATCATCTACAATTTTTTTCTCTTTTTCGTTTTTTTTTTCTTCATATATATTTGAAAGCATATTACATTCATTTAATTTTTCCTTCTCATATTTTGTTTTTTCTTCATTAAAATTTTTATATTTACTAAACGCTATATCTCTTTCATCTAATTTTTCCTTTTCCTTTTCCTTTTTTTTTTTTTTTTTTCTTTTTTTCATTTTACAATTATTTTCTTTAGAATATATATCACTTTCGGTAAAACTGCTTAGTTTATATTTTTCATTAACATTAGTATCACTTTTATATGAATTCACAGAGTTACTATTTTTTTTTTTGACATAATTATCATTGTCTTTTGTTAAATGAGTAATTTTTTTATTATTACAATTTAAATTTATCTCTTCTTCATATTTATCACTTTTACTACTAGTTTTAGACGAATCTTCATTTTCGTATTTATATTTTTTTATGTAATAATTGTTCATTAATTGATGTTCTTTTATAAAATCGTCCATTTCTTTTTCATTTAGTGATTTATTTTTAAACTTTTTTAACTCTTCTCTCTTTTCATCATGAATTTTTTTTTTTCCTAAAAATTCTTTTTTTTTTAATAACTTTTGATATTGATCTTTTATATAATTGATATCCAATTTCTCTTCCTCTTTCTTCTTCTCTTCCTCATTTTCATCTTTATTTTTAGTATTTTCTAATATTTCTTCTTTTTTTATGTTAATGGTAGGTAGTTTCTTTTTAATTTTATCAATAAAAGTATCAATTAATTCATTTTCTAATTTATCTTTAAATTCATTAAGAATAGTACTAATATGTTTTTCATTATAACATTCTTTTGAATCTTCATTTAATTTAATTCGATTTTCACTTTCATTTTTTAAATCTTCACTGAGCAATTTGCTTAATTCAGTATCATTTCTGTTATGTTTATAAGTATCACCGAAAAAGGAACTGCTTTTATCGAAAGAATTTTTTCTTTTTTTAAAAGGGTTGTTTTTATCTAACAAATATGCATCTTTATTAGATAAATCTTCTTTATCATTATTATTATCAGAAAAATGAAAATACATTGACTTATTTACTTCATGAATTTTAGAAAAATTATAATTAAACGATTTTCCTTCATTTCCATTCAACCCATTATTATTTTTATCATCATTTTTTTCTTCAAAGAAACTTAATCTTTTATTTTTTGTTTCTTCATTAGAACTTTTATCTTCTTGTAATATATTATAATTTTCTTCACAAAAATTTTCTTTTTCATTGATATCTGAATGTGAACTGGATGAAAAAAGGCTGTTATTTGACTTTTTTTTTATTTCTTTATTTGTTCTATTAATTTTGTTACTATTTTTATTTTTAAAAAAATTTTCATTAGATGAATCAGATTTATTAGAGGATAATTTTCCATAAGAAAACTCATTTATAGAATCATTACTTTTTTCAGAATCAAAATTAAAAAATTCGTCATTATTGTTAATAATCCTTTCATCCTTTTTTAATTCTTTTTCTTTTATTTCATCGTTAAACTGATTAAATTTCTTTTTCATTTCTTCTATTTCTTCATTGAACTTGCTACATTTATCTTTAATATCTTTTTCTTCCTCATTTATCTTAAAAAAATTGTATTCTTTCTCATTTATATCGGGAAGAATTTTACTAAATTTATTACTTTTCAATTTCATCTCGTTACTTAAATGATTTAACTTTTTTTCTTTTTTTTGTGAATCATCTTTTTTATCACTGATTTTTTCGTTGTTTATTTTTTTTGGACTTTTTTTTTTTTCTTTTGAAGTTGATAATTGATCATATTTGTTCATTTCCTCATTTTTTTTTTTTTTTTTGTTGTCATTAGAATGATTTGATAATATGTCATAATTATTTACTTCCTTTTTTTTGCTGTTAAAATTGAAAGAATCAAAACTATCATGTGAAGGTATATCATTCATTGAGTCAACTACTAAAGGATCTATTTTATAAGTGTGAATATTATTCATCTCATTTTTATCTTTTATTTTAATGTTCTTTATATTTTCTTTATTTTTATCATAATTAAAATCACCAATTAGTATAGATTTACTTTCTTTAATAACCATATCAGCGGAACGACCTATGATAAATAATCTAATATCTGTTATTAAGAAGGATATGAATTCTTTAAAATGTTTTTTATTTTTATTTGATATAAGTTTATTTTTATTATTATAAAAAATATTATCTTCATCACCAATATTTTTATTTTCATCAGTTGTTTTTATACCTATATATAAAGATAATTTTTCATTATTATCAATAAAAAAATTAGTTGGATATAATAAATTATTATAAAAAATTATATAAGAGTTATTATACAAATTTAAAAAATAATTATCACATCCTGATAAAATTACATAAATAAGATCAATGGTTAAATTAAATACAATGGATATATTACTCCAATAATAATCATTTAATTTAATACTTTTTAAATAGTCAACATAAAAATTATCAAATTGATATTTTTTATTTTTGAAATTTATTAAAAAATAGCATTTTTCGTTTTCAATTAATAAATTAATATTCCATTCATTTTTTCCTTTTTGAATTAAACAAATACGTTTTTTTTTATTTTTCTTCGAAAATTTTTCTTCTAAAAATTTTTTTTTTATTCCTATCCACATCTCAAATGTAAAACCTTCACTATTTTCGTTCAATAAATTTTTGTGAATTTCTTTTTTTATTTCTATACTTTTTTCATTCATACTATAATTTCCACCTAAAAGTTCCAAACAATTATCCGATTTAATTTCAATATAAAAGTTTGATTTTCCACCTAATTTTAGACAATAATTTTCTTTTGTTTTTTCTCCCCATTTATCTTCATTAATTAAAAGTTCGTTATTTTTTAATTTATAAAACCATACTGAATCTTTAAAAAAAAAAAAAAATAAAATAAAATAAAATAAAATAAAAAGATAAAAAAAATTATAATTATTTTTTTTATTCATTTCACCTTTTATAAATAATTTTTATTAATATAATAACTTTTTTATAATTTTTATTTTTTTATAATATTACTTGATTCTTTGTAATTTCTAATAAATGCAGTTCTATTACAACCAGATTCATCATTTAAAATATCTTTACTTCCTTCTGTACATCTATAATATCCGACTAATCCTAGAGGTTTTATACAATATTCTTTTTTTTTTTTTTCTTTTTCTTTTTCTGTTTGTAGTGTAATTTGTTGAATAATATTCTCATTATAATTATTGTCAATTTTATAGGTAGAATTCATAGATTTTTTAAAATAATTTTGAAATAAGAAATGTTTTTTTTTTTTTTTTTTTTCCATTTTCTCTACAATATTTTTCAATAGTAGAGAATTTGAAAATTCTGATAAATGGAAAATATCTTCAATTGATTTTCTTGTATTTTTATTTAAGTTTCTTAACCAAGTATTATAACAAAAGTTTAAAAGTGATTCTTTATTATATCTTGCATAATTCTGTTTATAATTTGTTCTTACTGTAAAATAATTTTTATCACAAAAGTTTTCAAATAACTTTACTATTTTACATTGAAGTATATTCAAATTATTAATATAATGTTTACATGAAAAAGAGCTATCATTGGTTTTAATTGATGCATTTTTTTTTATCCTATAATTTTTATTCCTCTTTTTACAATAGAATTGCTTTTTAAACTTGCTAACTTTTTTATAATGTTTTATATAGTTAAGCTGATTCGCTTTAAAATAATTAATCTTCTTTTTTAAAATAACTAAAAGTAACTTTTTTTTAATTTGTATTAAATTTTTATAATGTATTATATTTGGATATCTTTTTAGTTTTTTTTCTTTTTCTTCTAGTCCACTTAATAAATTATTTCTTCCTATTATTTTTCCTTTGATAGTATTTCCTTTTGATATATTCTATATAAAAAGAAAAAAAAGAATATAAAATTAAACAAACAAAAAATATATAACAAATGAATTATATAAAAATATTTAAAATAAATATAAAAAAAAAAAAAAAAAAAAAAAAATTGTAATGATTAAAAAATAAAACAATTTGTATAACAAAAATGTGTAGAACAAAAAAGTTGATGATAACAGGATAAAAAAAGTTCTCATATTTTTTTATACTTAAATTTGAAATAAAACAATTTAAAAATAACTTAGATACATTATATTTTATTTTTAATATAATGTAATAAATAAAAATATATATTTTTAAATAAATTATATTTAAAATAATAAAGAATTTTTTCTAAAATGAAAAAAAAAAAAAAAAAAAAAAAAAAAAAAAGATTCGTATATAAGAGATCAATGATATTAATCAAATATCGTATATATAAGAACAAAATGTTATTAAAAAATGTTAATTTTTCTTATATTTTATTTTTACTATTATATTTTACATTTACCGTTTGTGAAATCTTATGTGACTTTATTTTATTTATTAAAGGGTAGTTATTATGTTGAAGTATAATATATGTTAAAGACTTAGAAGATATTTTTAAAATAAAATGTTTGGTTTTTTTCTTTTTTTTTTTATACCTTAACTTTTTTAGAGTTTTTAAATATATTTTTTCATAAAAGTCGTTGTAGCTAAAAATATATATACAATTACAGGTAGATAGAGCAAACAAATTTTCTTTTTTTTTTATCTGCAAACTTTCAATTATTATTCCGTTACCAAATGCCTTTCTAAAGTCAAACTGAAAATTTGCATATTTAAATATATTATTATTTTAAAATATATATATATATATAAATATATAAATATATATATATATATAATGGAAAAAGGACATAGTAGGTATTAATTTAAATTCATATAATTTTTATAACATTATAAAGAATGAGTAAAAAATGAAAATAGAAAAACAGCAAGTATAATCTAAAATATAGACTTGAAAAAAAAATTCAATAAAAATATTAAATGCACTTTTACGCACATATATAAAAGTAATGGAATAATATAATATATATATATAAACTTTTTTTTTTTTTTAAATATAAAAAAGAGAAAATAAAGTTACAACATAATTTACAAAATTAATTGTACATTTATGTATATAGATGTTCATATGAAAGAAAATGCTAATGATAAAAGAACGATAATATAATAATATAAAATACTTACTTTTATAATTTTATCTATAATAATTATATTACTTTTGCAATTATTTATAAAAAAAATAATAAGGTAAAATGGAGTTAATATTATAAGAGATATTTGTTTATTATTATTTTTTTTTTTCTTCCATTGAATAGATTGAATAGGAACACTAATCTTTTTATTTTTAACTACACGGAATATATTTTTTAATTTTAAAACCTTTTCAATGTTATTTTTATAATTTTTTAAAAAGGTGTAAAATAAGATACCTCCCTTTTTATTTGACCAAAGAAAAAGGATATTATTGAAAATAGAATGAGTAAAAATATTTTGAACTTTATGTTTTATATATTTATTTGATTCATTTAAAATATAGTTATCATAAATTGTGAAAAAAATTAAATGAGAATAATAAAAATCTTTTTTATCTGTTTTACATTTATCCAAAAATATATTTCTTTTTAGTAAGATAACTTCTCTACGATTAAAAAAACATGCTCCAAATGAATTTTTAAAAATGTGAAAAATTTGAAATTTTTTTTCAATTTTTATTAATAATATATCTGATTCAAATAATTCTTCAAAATTTTTAATTATTTTATTTGGGTAATTTTTTTTGGTAGAAATATAACATCTAACTAAAACAAAAGAAAAATCACTATTTCTAATTTCTAGAGATTTTTTTTTTTTGTCTAAAAATTCATAATTAAGACTTTGAATTTTTGGTTTACTTAAATTTTTTTTTTCTATTTTTTCTAATATTCTTTTATATAATAATGGAAAAAAAGGTTTCTTTTTCCTTTTAATTGTGTCTATAATGTCAATTAAATTAATATTCTGATTAAGTATACTATGAGTAATAAAACGGTTATTTCTATACAGATATAGTTGATTGTTATGAATAAAGCATTCTGAATAAATTTTATAGAAAGGATACTTTAAAAATTTCAAATATAAATTTAAAACAATTATATAAAATTTGTTTTTATAAAAGCAAAAGGTTAAAAAGAAATAACTCAAAGAGAAAAAACAAGCAAAAGATTTTTTTTTTTTACAAAAAAATTCGTTGGGTAAAGTAAAAAATATATCTTCACTTAATTTTATAAAAGAATTATAAATGGCAATAGAATAAGTATTATTAGTATCATTAAAAAGAAGCTCACCTAAGTAAATTTTATTACAATTGTCAGTAATTAAAAATTTATGTTTTTCATTTTTTTTTAACCATATAAATGAGATTAAAGAAAAATTGAAGTTGCATTTTTGTAAAAAACTGAAAATCAATTTTTCTTGGATAGTTGTAACTTTATAAAAATAAAGCTTTCCATTACTACTAGCTACTCCTAAAATGTTTTTATGAAAACATATAGATACATAAATATTATTTTTTAATTTTTTGCAATTAAAATAATTTTTTTTAATTTTTATATCATCATTAGATAAGTCGTAATAATCATAACATTCTGTAGTTTTATAATTATATTTCTTATTATAAAAAATCTCCAATGTGTTATTTTCTAATATGGGATAACTATATAAATAATCCTTTGTTAAATCGATTACACAATAACAATACTCGAAAATGTAATTCGAGTAATATAATTTAAATACATAAAAAGTCAATTTTTTCGTTACTAAAAATAAATTATAATAATTTTTTTTTTTTCTAATAGTATTTATATCTTTTTTTTTAATGTTTCCATGCATACAAACAGAAGAAAATTTTTTTTTTAAAGTATCTATAATGAATTCATCAAGTACTGTTTGATTTTCATCTTCTGTATAAGGTATAACATTTTCTAAACTTAAGTTATTTGAATTTTCTTTTATGAGATTTTTTTTCATAGAGCTTTGATTTACATTTTCTTTTTTCAATTTATTTTTTTTTTTTTTTAGATACTCACTTTTTTGATCATAATATATATTTTGTTCTAAAATTTCAGCAGTATTTAATGAAGTAATGCTTTTTTTTGTATTTATTGATTTCATAATATCATTATTCTTTTTTTTTAATTTAATATCCTTATTATTATTATTTTTACTTTTAAGCATATCCTTTACATAATTAGAATTATTATTACAATAATATTTCCTATGTAAATTAATGATTTTTTTTTTAATAGATTTATTACTTTTATGATTTTTGAAATATTTTATTCTATGAACATTGTTTAATTTATTATTTTCCAAAAAATCTTTACTTTTATTCTCACTTTTTCTATTAACGTCATATATTTTTTGACAAAGAATATTTATATTTTCCTTTTTTTTTATCTTCTTCTTCTTCTTCTTTTTCTTTTTCTTAATTGAATTATTATTTTTTTTATTTATAGGAATATTATTTTCTTTTCCTTCTGATTCATTTTGATTATTATTTATATATTTTATTTTTTCTATACAAATTAAATAATCATTAAAAAATAAAGAATATTTGTTGTATCCTTTCACTCCTTTACTTTTAATATAATCATATAAAAAGTAAATTTCTAGTTCTTGTCTTTTTCTTTGTATAAATAATATACAACTGAAAAATTCTTTTCTATTATTTATAACAAACCAATTAAAAATGTCATTTTCTTTAAAACTTTCAATGTAATTTTCTTTTAATGTTGTAAAATGTAAAAAAGTTAATTTTTTTATAGAAAAAAAAAGTAAAAAAAAAGATGATAAAATTATACACAAAATAGCATCTTTATGTTTGTCTTTCTTTGATATTGTAAAACAGAACATACCATTTATTTTAATGATTTTTTTTTTTTTTATATAATTATTAAAATTATCTATTAAATCAACAAATTTTGAAATTTTTCTTTTTTCTAACTTAAAATTAGAACTACTATATCTTTTTATTTCTATTCCTTTAAATGAATTTATATTTTCTATAGAAACATTTTTTTCAATTATATTTGCTAAAATTAAATATTCTTTATTTTTATTTTTACATAAACAAACAGATTCAGCATTTCTTTTAAACAAAATCATGATGAAAAAAAAAAAAAAAAAAAAAATATATAACTTTTGTTCTATATAAAAATATATATATATATATTGTTGCTAAAAGTGAAATGTCAACATTCCTAAAAATCTGTCTAAAATTTTTTCAAAATAATAATTAAACTATAAAATAAATTAATTTTAATTCATATAAAGATTTATAATAATATTATTTCAATAAAGAATTTTGAGTTTTTAATATAATAAAAAAAAAATACACAATTAAACATTTACACAAAAAAAAAAAAAAAAAATAAAATAAAATAAAAAAATGACATGAAAAATTAAAAAAAAAAAATTGTAGATTTCATTTTTATAATGATCATAAAAGTACAAAAAAAAAGAAAAAAAAGAAAAATTTATTTATGTATTTTTTTTTTTTTTTTTATAGACACAAAAAATAAATTTGAGCTAATTTTTTTTTTTTTTTTTTTATTTTAATTAAATCATATTATTTTTATTATAAAAAATTTCATTATTAGTTGAAATATATTAAGATAAGAATATTCATATGAATGTTTTTATTGAAAAATGATATTGGAATAATTAACAAAAAGATGTAATAGAAAAAAAAAAAAAAAAAGATATTTTATATCTATATTTAAAATATATTTTCTTTGCATTTCAAATTTTATTATTATACTGAACAGTATTATAACTTCAAAACAAATGGATCTACTAGTTATATCCTAATAGTTTTAATTGAGTAAAAATATTACACATATCTTGAAAAGAGGATAATGATGAATTATCAAAAGCATAATGGGTTTCATCAGTTGATAAGGTATAATTAACAGTCTTAACATTTTTATCAACATAGTATAAATGGAGTTTTCTATTTGTTAAACTGTTTTTTATGATATTATTTCTACATATTCCAATTAAATACCAAGATGTTTTATAAATCTGAGTGTGTAAGGTAAGGTAATCTTGTAGTATTGATTTAGAATAATATAATAATAACTTTTCATCAATAATATATTTATGAAAAGAAAAAAAATATATGTCTTCTTTTGTTTTTTTATTATATATATATATATCATTAGCTTTTTGAAGGGATTCATTAAATATATCATTATTAGTATAATCTCCTTTTTCAAAAGATACTACATAAATTCTAGAAATAGTTTTATTTATATCAGTAGAATTTTTAACATATTCATTTGTAGATGTTTTAACAGATGATATTCCCTTTACGTCAGTTAATAATAAAATACTATAC